TGAGACAGTGGAGAGAGTGTATATAATCACTTTTGCAAAATCCAGCTTGGTTACAGCAAACATCACTTGCATGTACATTTCATTGGTGAGAACTAGCCACATGGCTGCTCCTGGGAGCAGGGTTTCTAGGATATGGAATCCTGGTTAAGCAGGCAGCTTCCTTCTGGAAAATTCATACTGTGAGGCAGAGCAAAACATTTCTGTTGTAGTCAAATTTTAATGTTTGATTAAAGACACTTATGTGTCTCCTTCCAAGTAGGACAAGTAAATGTGATGATATATTCTAATTTGAGATACATAGAGAATTAGAGTAACACTTTTTTTTTCTTAAAGAAATGAGACACATTCATTATCAGAGACAATATCAGGTGTGACAGTTTTCTAGGAAGAGGATCTGGGCTCTATCCCTGCTGAGAGGTGTCCCTCCGCTATAACCAATATCTTTCCCTCTGCCTGCCAGCTGAGACTGTCTAGAGGGATGATGCTTCTCCCTCACCTACCAATGAGCAGATGCACTTGAATGAGGTCAGGTGCTGCCAGTCTAGTGTGCAGACTCAGGACAGCATGGCCTTTTCCTTCTCTAGGTCTGGATCTCCAACTGACTCCTAGCATTTCAGGCAGCCCCACTGCCTGATTTTCAGCTACTCACCTACAAAAAATGGAGCAGTCCTCACTCTCCTCCCACCCTCAGGACAGCAATGCCCATGCTCATTGTAACAAGGTTGACTAGTCTGAGGAGTATATCTTGCATAAATTTGAACACTAAAGTCCTGTGTTCAGCTGCTGTATTGGTAGCTGAAGCAGCGTCTTGTTGGGGACAATTAAGACTTGTGAAGTAGTCTATATGAATTCCTGAAAGAGTGAGAATAACCCACTCTATGCTACCTGGTTTTGTTTTGTTTTTAAGATAAATTTAGTTAGTTTAATTTTGAACTTCTGGGGTTGATAGAGAAGGAAATTTGTTTTAGATGAACCTTAAAAAATATTCAAGATGGAATAGGAAACATGATTTTCTACAGATCACATTAATTGGTCTGCCTTGCTTTATTTGACATCATAAAAGTCTAGACAAAAGGAAGCTGTAAGAATGTTTTAAATTTGTAGTCAGGAAGACATTCTTATGTTCCTGGAAGGGACAGGGAGGGGGAATAGTGACGAAAAATAGACAGAAGAACTGCTGACAAGACCAAAAAAGGGAAAATGAATTCCAAAGGAAGGCTTGCAATTCTCAGGAGGCATGACATTGTCGGTGAACCAGAATATTCCAAATGCTACAGTGACAGCCTTTGCTTCATCCCTTTCTCACCAAGAGGTCTCATCTATATCTGTTCAGGCCTTAGTATTTTTTAGTGACATATTCCTCCTTCTCTCCCTTGCTCCCTGTCTCATGGTCCTCCTCCCTTCCTTCCTCTGCCTTCCTCTTCTTCTTTCTTTCCTCGCCTCTTTCCTCTTCATTTTCTCTCTTCCCCCCTCCATTTCTTTCTCACACACTTTGTTCTTCTCTCTCTGGGTCAGGTACTGTTTGCAGTGCTGAAAAGGATAGAATACAACAACCTGTAGGGTCTATTAACCCCATGTTAAATAACTGATAAAAAGGCTGAAAGGCAGCTGGCATGAAGAGGTTCAATCATTTTCCCAAGGTGACTTGGGAAGAGTTGGGATGTGTCAAGGGCTCTGATCATGCCACTCCACTGTTCAGTGCCTTGCCTGATTTCCTATTGCCTGGAATAATGCAGTGGAATAAAACTCCATTTCTATAACATGGGAGACAGCCCTCTCCAGTAAATGGCCCCAACCAATTCCCCAAACGTATGTAACTCCTGCCATTTCCTGCAGGGCCCCAATAGCATCAACAGAATACTTATATTCCCTGAACACAACTGAGCTCTGGTTTTTTGTTTGTTTGTTCATTTTTGTTTTTGTTTTTGCATCTTGGTGATTATATTTATTGGAAGAATTGGAGGGAAAAGTGCCATTTAGCTTAAGAAGTCATGGGTTATGTGCAAATCAATTCATTTTAAGAGTGGAAAAATCCTCAGAATTATTTCTTAATATCAAAAGTATGCAGTTTTCTCTTTCAAATGCTTTGCACATTTAAAGAGGCAATTGTACAAAGTCTCCTATTTTCCATACTGGACAAATTCTTTGTGTCAGCCAACTTTCAATGGAGGGACAACCAGGACAGCATCATCTCCCTGGATAAAGAGCGTTGGAATACTCAGTTTCGTTGATTTACATATCCCTTCATATATTTGTTCGTCAGTTTCTATAGTAGCCACAGTTTCTTCTACATCTCCTAACATCATATTTAAATGTTGATCCTAAGCATGTAATCTGCCTTGAAGCCGTCAGTCATTTCCCATTTTCATGTAAATTCTCTCATCTTGGTAGTTTGTTGCTGGCCCACATAATCTGCCATGTTTCAAATCCTGCACCCTTCCCACGGAACTCTTACAACTCTATGACACGTGCTTGTTACATAAAACCCTGCTTGTTTTATCATATCCTTCCTTGCCTAAAACTCCTAGCCATCCTTCAAAACCCAGACCACTTCTTTTGTGAAGCCTTTCCTGAAACTCACAGGATAAAATAGTTATACTTCATTCTAAATGCCCACAGGACAATGCCCATATTTCTATTATAGCACTTATTGCATTGTGCTAAATTATTCACATATGTGTCTCACTCACTGGCCTCTGAAGTCTCAACAAGAAATACTGGGGCATTACTCACTAGCAAATCCAGTGCTTGCTACCTAGCTTGTGTTCACTGCAATGGAGGAATATATAAGAAAAGCATCACTGATATAACCTATGTACCATAACATCAGTAATAGGATAAAGAATATTAAATATATATGTAAAAGAAGATAAGGAATGTTCTTTTCCTTCTGTAGTTTATTGATAATTATAAGAAATACATGTTCTACATATAAAATTATTAAAATGTGGGAGTTTACCATGTTGCAGGAATTGTCAGAATTTTCTACCTTTGTCTAATGTTAAAACACTTTTATATTAATATTTATGACCCAAATCAAATACTTTATACAACTCTATGTATGTTGACCCTCTTACCAATTTCTGACTTTTTCACTTTATTTGTAAATTCAAGTGTATCTCTTTGGAAAATGTTATTTGGCTGTCAACTTTTTAAAAAATTAATGTATATATGTACACATATGTGCATTATATGGTACATGTTGTGAATATTCATTATATAGCACTTTATACTGTATATATATATGTAGTATAATAAACTATTCATATACACACAGAGATAGAGGGAGCAACCATATTTATATATACTATATATAATCCATACACACACTACATTGTCCACCACCTCTATTTGTATATAGTTTCCTCATCCTTTGAGGCCAGTTGATGACTTTCAGATAATGAGACTGAATAGTAATCTGGGCCAAAAAATGTTAATGCAGCTACCAAACTGCTAATGCTCTTAGCCAGCAAGTGCTCTGTCACACAGTCCTGAGTTGAAGAGTTGAGTGTGTTCTACAAATTGTGTTTACTCCATTGAGGTCTCTCATGTCATTTATTTTGTGCTTGGGTGAACAATTTTGAGTTATAATGACTGACAAATTGTGCAAGCGACAGTGCTGGATCTGTCATAAAGATACCAAAAGTATTAAGCTCGAAGTCGAAATGCACATTTTATTATAGCTTGTGGCTTTTTTCAAGGAATTGGCAACTGTGTTCAAGATTAGCAGGCCACAAGGAGCTGATTCAAGTCTCTTAACTTATTAGAGGTATTAGAAGCATCCCTTCAATCTGGGAGGATTGACTTGGTATGGTCAGGTATGTCAAGACTTAAGGGATTTGAAGAGAAGTATGATTAAAAGGATTTTGTTAGAATGATCCCCTAAAATGTTGATCCTTTAAGTGTTTTAGGCTGTTGCTTTCTGATTCTTCCCCTCCAATCCCCTTTCTCTCCAAGTAAACAGGATGTCCTTATATATTGCTTTATATTCATTTAACTTGTTTAACTCATCTTTATTTCAAATTAAGACATACTAGATATAAGTTTCTTGCCTTTTCTTACGTTCACTATCTTTTTCTGAAGCAAGAAAGGTAATCATGATTTTTTTTTATTTGAAATGTGATTTCTTAAGAGAACCATAGAGTCGGTAGCTGTACATTGGAAGCAGAATATCTGGGGGCATGGAGGAGCACCAAGAGTTTGAAAGGGTTCCCAGGTGATTCTAATGTACAGTCAGGATTGAAAATCACCACTCAGTTGAAGATACATGTCTCTTGATTATATAAGGAGTTAGTGTTTCAACTAGAACACTTTTTTGGAAAGATTACCCACATAACTGGTTCTTTTACATTATTCCCCCTCCCACAATTGAGAATTACCTTTCCAGTAAATTCAGATGATGGTATCTGTTAGTTTGGCCCACAATTCTCAAGTGGGAAAGATATCCTATAAGAAGCATGAGTGTGGGCACTCATTCGGAGAATAATTTTTTAATTAAAAAAATTGACACATAATTGTACGTACTTATGAGGTACATAATGACATTGCAATACATATGATGTATTGTAATCAGATCATGGTAATCAGCATATCCATAATTTCAAACATTTATCATTTCTTTGTGTTGGGAACATTCATTACGCATGCATGGAATTGCTTTCTCTATACCAGCTCTTTCCTTTCCCTTGAATGTTGAATGAAGCTTGCCTTTTTAGGAGATTAAAGAGATCTGTCTAAATCCCAGATATCTCTGTATTAGATAAAGAGATGGAGTGAGGATCCAGGCAGCTCTGTCCACTTAGAAAAATCTGGAAGTTCAGGAACTGTAACAGCAAAGCTTCACTGCACTGCCATGGGTGTTGCACACAGGTTAATTCATTAATGATTAACCACAGAGTCTGAATTGATGTGAGATGAAGGAAAGTGAAACCCTGCACCTGTGTGAGGCTTCTGCACTAGCTTCTACCCCAAAGTCTTACAGAAAATGTTTTTCTCCACAGGTTCGAACCAGTGTCCTACCAGAACATAAGGATCCCCCGCCAGAAGTTGGGGTAAGTGTTTCTTATGTTTCCAAAAGGCACACACGTTGCTTCTAAATTAATCATTTGGATTTTCTCTGGCCTCCTGCTTGGTGGCTGACAAATAAAATTGAATTACGTTAAGAGGGTGTGGCTCTTTGAGGAGGTACTGTCACATATTTGCTGAATTGCATGGAATTCATTTTTTTGTTTCCTGAAAATCATCCTCAAGTGAATTCATATTTAGTTCAGCTGGCTAGAGATGAGCCTAGACTTTGCCCTGTGATTCAGAGCCAAGATTCCTGGACCAACAGGAGGTGAGGGAAATTACAGATGTGATCTCTACCGCTTCAGGAAGAAGGAAGAGAACCAGCCATAGGATTGTGATATTTTGTTTCCTGCCACTTAAACACTGTAATGAAGGTCAAAAGAGAGGCAGTCACCACTGTTCAGTCCAATGTTGGAAAATCCTGCTGAAGTTTTCTTGCTGCACTGAACTATTGCCTCTCCAGTATTTAGAATTTAGAAGAACAAGAAGGTACTGGGTGCTTTCTGCTTAGACAAGGCTAGAGTAGGTGATGGCAGCTCCTAAAAGATACAGCCCCACAGGCTGAATCCTTGAGATCTGTGTGTTCAGAGAGGAGGAAAAAGACCAGAAGTAAATTAGGTCTGAGAAGCCCTGGGGCTGAGCCAACTGGAAGAGCTATTTGAAATACCCTGAAATTCTACAGGCACTTGACAACCTTCTTCCAGTCAGTGTGAGGACACTGTACTAGGTACCATTCATTTTCTCCTTGAACACAGCCACAAACTGCCAAGGAAGGACTCCAAAAATATGCACCAAAGTTTGACTCGACTGAGCATAATGTCAGTTATCTCTGCAGCTCTTAGTGAAGAAGCAGAGGGAAAAGGACGATGTCTTGCTTTCTCATGCCTAACACAAGCCTTTCATCTCTTCCTGGGGACTGATTGAGTAACTGCTTTGACTTGGGGCAATCCTTGCAGTTTTTCTGCCTGTCCCTTCAACCTCTTGTGCCACTCACTTCCACCATCAATCTCTGTGCTGACTACACAAACCTTCATTTAGTTCCTCCAGCGCATCCAGAAAGTTCTCCCCAGCCTCAGGCCTCCACAGACACAGGCAGATGGGCTTCTGTCAGCCTGGACTGCTGCATCCCATGGGGAGAGGGCTCCCTTCCACAGCTCAGGGCCAGCTCACATGTTTCCACTACTACCACCCTGGGGCCCTGCTTCCAACAGGACCCTCCATCCTAAATGCACGCTCTCATCACACCCATGGCACTGCTTCATAGAATGTGAGACTTTTTAAACTATTAATATGGGTAATACATTGTTCTACCAAGGTGTTCCATTTATTTGCCAAGGTTCAAGGAAGCTTAGCTGGTTTAATTTTTTTCTTCTGTGATCACTGCCTGCCCTGACCCCACTCCACCACTGCTCTTGTGTTGAATTCCCCTTGCTTAAAGCTTTAATGATATTTTGGCCCAATTGTGTAGATTTCTCCGAATTTTTTCTCTCACTCAGGTTCTTGGGAATCCATCTTAATTATCTTAAACCTTGAGTCTCTTATCTAATTTTATTTTCTTCTACCTCTTCCCACCATTTCCCCCTATAGACTAGACTTTCTGTGACTCTAACAGCGTGCAGTAGGGAGGAAGTCTAATGTGATTCCCACACATGACCTGTCCTTTCTTCTTTTGATTCCTCAGTTGTGGCAGCAAAGAGGAAGGAGTAGGGAGACAGAGGTTTATTCTGGGCTTGCTCCTGGTGAGGGTGAGGTTTCCTTACTGCTAGACTTGATGCTTCTCAGGCAGTGACTGGTGTTAGAGCCCTCTCTGTGGCAGATACTGATTTGCTGGCTCTCTGATGGACAAAGGTATAGATATTTCTGGGGACTTTGTCAGGTTCTCCTCATAGCATAATTGCCTACCATGGGGGACCTGGCTCTGGGCCAACTTCCTCCACTGCCCACCCCTACTCCATTCCCTCTTGTTGTGAGATCTACCATTCAAGTACCTGGCTCCAGGTCAGCTATTTTCTGTGCTATCCAAATACATGAAACTCACATGTACTTGCCATCCCACATGGAAGAAATGCAGGCTGTTCCATTGTGTGTTTCCTCTTTCGGCTCAGCCATCTCTCTGCTGATCCTTTCTACAAGCCCCAGCAGCATCAGGCACTGGGTCATATTCAATGATTCTCAAAAGAGAGACAATCAGTCCCCAGTGGAAGTAAACACGGTTTAGACACCTCTAGGCTTTATAAGTGATTTTTGGTACCAGACCCTCTTGGCTTCAGCTCTGAGGATAAAGATATTTTCCTGGGGGATGCTTAAGAGAGAAACTAGCCACATCTCCAAAATCAGACACCTTCCTAAATGCTGACCTCTCCTCTCTTCTAGCCCTAGCTTTATATTAACTGGGTGTATTGTGGCTACTTACAGACCAGCATCTCTACACTGGTTCCTCATCAAGCATGTTAATAAGATTGCTGGCCTCAAACACTGAAGGTTCTCTGAACATACAATGGGGTACATTTATTATATTGTGTCTTCATCTTTGACAAAACTCGGCTATAATTCCTGGACTAAAAGAGAAATCTCGATTGGTATCCTGTGACATCCCTATTTTTGCAATTAGGAATGTACCCTAAGGCAAGTAATGTGACAAACTGTGGCTTAAAACTAATTAATGGGTTTGTTTTTCTCATGTTATAGAAGTCTTGGGAAAATTGTCCAGGGCTTCAGCTACTCAAAAGTGACTTGAAGCAGCCAAACTCTATCCATCTTCCTGGTCCTTCTTTCTTAGAGAACTGCACAGACTGGCCATGGTACCCCAGTTAGCACATTCTGGGTTGAGTGAAGAATAAAGGGAAGAAGCTCAGCTGGCCTATTCCTTCAACTTGGAAAACAGTAACTTCCTGGGAAATTTCATTTTGTATACTGTCACTTACATAGTATTGGGAAGACCTAAGTCCTTAGCTAGAAGAGAATCTGGGTACAATTCTCATTTAAACAAAATTGAGGTGCTATTAGTAATGAAGAATGGGCGGGAAGCATGTTAAGTAGGCAATTAGTCATGTCTCCACACTCCTGCTAGATGTACTCCATGATAACAAGGTCTCTATTTCTAATATTCCTGGCTTTGTGCTTGGAAGCTAGCAAATCTATGATCTATGTATTGAATAAATCAAAAGCATACCACGATTTTATTTTGCCAACCATTTTATGTATTGTTAGAACCACCAGAAATAAATGAGTGGGGGATTCTAGAAATGACTAATAATACAGTAAAAAATCTAACAACTTTTATGACCCATCAGAACTCAAAATGGCAAGTATGACTTCAGAACTAAATATCAAGCACAGTAAGAGTAAGTCTGAAAAAGAACAAGTCAGCATGCCTTAATTTCCTAACACCCTCAGATTACATGTTATTTTGGAGAGAGAAGTTAACATATGTTGACCACCTATGAAGTACCACTTGTTAATATACATCCTATCAGCGAATCCTCAAAATATTTCCTTGGACACTCCAAAACAGGTCTGAGAGTTTAAGCTCTTGGCCAAGGACACAGAGCCAGTAATGGCTTTGTCATTACAACATACAAGGGTTCTACTCTTCAAGTACTCTAATTTTTTTTAAAGAGCTTAGATTTTTTTATTGTAATCTTTCAAATATGTTAGGTGTGTTTCTTTTCATTCTCAAACAGAATTTACCGGATGCACCCAAATATTTTCTTGATGACTTAGTCAAGCAAATATTAATATGTGCTCTTAGACCTTTTGAGGTATATTCACAAGTAAAGATAAAATTCTATGATAAGTGACTTTACCTTAAAGTGCTTTTTAATGTTTCCTTTGGGCTATTCATCAACTTTTAATAGATTTCTTCCCAATTATTTTTTCTTTCTGATGTATTTTTCAATGTTAATAGTTCATTTAGTCTTTTTCTCTTCCTGTGGGGTAGGAAATAATGTAACCATATCTGTTATGGTTTACAGAAAAAAAAAAGTACCTGGGCTATGAAAAGACCTGTGTGTAGGTTATGCATAAGAGATGTTGTGTATCAGTCTTATAATACAACCTTCAACTTTTCAAAGACCTTTGAAAACTTATACCATAGATCCTGTATGTTGTTTTATGAGGATAGGTCGAAATTTTATTGATATACTCATTTGACCTCTAAACCAGCAGTGTTCAATGGATATAATGTATGTCACAAAATGCATGCTGCATATTTAATTTTAAATTTTCTAGCAGCTGTGTTTTTAAAAAGTAAGAGAAACAGGCTGAATTAATTTTAATATATTTTATTGAACCCAATATATGCAAAATATTATTCCAAAGTGTAATCAATACATTACATATTCGTATTCCTTTTTCATACTAAGCATTCTAAATTCAGTGTGTATTTTATACTGAGTATACATCTCAACTTGGAGTAGCCACATTTTACCTGCTAAAGCTAGTGGCTACTCATTGGATAGCACAGCTCTGGAGAGTAGTTGAATAAATTTGATGAGGTTCATGCAAATTGCAATAAAAAAAAAAACCAAAAAAAAAAAAAAAAACAAAAACAAAAATAAAACCTGTGCTTTGAATATAGGCTTTGTGAGAAGAACATGAATGATAGAGGTCTGGGCATCTGTGGCCACATGTGTGGTGGTGTACCTTCTCTGACCCCTTAAAGGTGACTGGGGAGCCACAGAGGACCTGCTGCATGGAGATGTCAAATCCTACTGAGCAGTCTGGATATGTGTGACTTGCTCGGAGTGGCTTCAGGGACTGGTGGGATATAGTATTCATGTGGACACTCCCTGTAGAGAGAGGCCAGGGATTCTGACAGATGCCCCACTTTTTTCCATCCTGTTTGATAGTACTCTCCAGCCAGGTGAGACTGAAATCATGCAGCAAACAATGTAATGATCATTTGCTTTGGGGTTCTTACATCAGAATAACTGAGTGTTGTATTGTCATGAGCAGGCAAGAAAGGTTAGAGCTGCATGTTGTGCAAGCAGAGTCTGTCAGAAGGAAAGGGAACTGCCACCTGTCCTAGAAATGAGGCGCAGCATGGTGGGGATGAAAGAATGCTGGAGAGAGAAGCAAGAAACCCGGGTTCTAACTTGGCTTCTACAGATTAACTAGTTCGGTGACATGTGTAAGCCAGTTTACTCTTAGAGGCCCCAGTTCCTTCATCTACAGACTAGCAGGGCCTTAACAATCCTTAAGGCTCTTTAAATATCCTATGCAATCTAATACAACTTACAGCTATAAGGGATCATAGGTAATATTTTCTCAACAATAATACTCGTAACTATACAGTACCTTTTGGCCTTTGTATCTTTTTTCATCTTTTTTTCTAAAATGTATTCTAAGTTATATTTCCCCCAAATCTAATATTTATTTTTAAAGATATATTTTTCTTTTTGTAGTGCAGGCATTTCTTATAGACTCCTCAAAAAATACTTTGCCTTTTCCCAAAAGTATTTAAGCTGTGCATTAGATGCTTTTAAGGCATCTGACTTCTAGTTATATGATCTTAATCACTATGCAAATATTTATGGGAGATGTTTTATTTTCCTGGCTAGATGTTTTCTTTGCCTGGATTACTTTAATTTTCTCATAGCAATAACTATGAGAAAGATAAGTTATCATATGCATTTTTTCCTTTAGCAACTAAGGTCTAGAGTAGTGGAGCAACTAGTTCAAGGCCCCAGACTTCAAAAGGGAGAAGACAGGGAAATAAGAAGTGACAATGCTTAGCAGTAGATGGTGAGCCTGGGGGCTGCAAGAAGTAATGTAATTGTCCAGATTTTCATTTTTGAACAGAATAACAGATTTAGAGCCACGCTTCAGACCTCTGAGCTCCAACTCTAGTGAAGCTTTCTCTTTTTTGTCTTTATTTCCCCCTGATAGAAACAGCACCAAAGGAGATTCAGAAAAAAATGTCCCTTGAATTATACTTAAAATATTAAAAAATTAAATAGCTTATCTTAAATTATATAATTATGACAGTGATAGCAAAGATACAATAGCTTTATATTAAATTATTCTTTTACATTAGCATCATGTGCTATAGAGAAGACTCTTTTCTCATTCATTCTTTTACAATGTGTTCAGCAAGTATTCACATAGATTAAAGATTTATTTTCTAACTTTGGGGTGGGAGAATCCTGGTTTTAGTTATACTGAGGTGAAGAAAACAAATAAAAAACCAGCTCAAAAGTAAATGTATAGGCAATCCCATTGTTTGTTGTTGCAGTATAAAACAATTGTCTTCACATTTTTTTTGATTTTATTAATGTAGTTTATACAATATGCAGTCTTGATATATAGTTATTTTTAGGATTAAAAAAAGGATAGCATTGGTACCCAAATAATACCTCCTCTTGTTTGACAAGTTTACAAAATGTAATGGTATGATGCCATCATTATCCAGGTTGATTTTTAACAGATTTTATTATTTGTGAGCACTTTCATTATCCTTTGGGATCAAGCAAGTGGCTGACAGTTGTAATGGATAAACCTGACTCATGGGCATTGTCCTTGGCACACTGTATGCACTCACAGTGCAGCCCTCTGTTCCAGACACTGGGCTCAGCTAGGAGATGGACAAGCCAAGGTTCTGCTTCCACAGGAGCTCCTGGTCTGGTGAACAGGAGAAACATTCAATGGCTTGTGGTCATAAATTTTACTTGCAGCTGTGCCTTATGGTGAGTCCATAGTTTATGTCTGAAAATAGCAATTCCACCTGTCTCTAGCTGCTACATTCCACTGTGGGGTGTTTGCTACTTTTATTGCTAAAAAGACTGCAATAATCTCATGACATGTGTAGCCAGCTTTGTTAATTCTAAAACCATCCATACCTCCAAAATCTTAAAAGGCAAATAGAAAATAACTTGCAATTTTGGAGTGTCATAAAATTTATGATTGCTTAAAAGTTTTCTTTGAGTGTGAATAATGAGTGGGAATTTAATTTAAAAGCTATGATTATCAGTGAAAGAGAAAGTGAGATCAGCATCTCTTTAAAATACAAAATGCTAAAATAAAATTCACTACAGCAGTATACGATCTGCATACGACAAAATTGTTTTGATTTTCCACATTTCAGTGAATTACAGTAGTTTATAAATAGCTGCAAAAGTAACTTTTCTCCTATATCTAATAGAATCACTTACTTAAAGGCTGGTGTCTATGCCATTTGTTCATTCATTCGTTCATTATCAGTAAATATTTACCAGTTACCTACTGTGTGCTGTGCAGTGGAGGGTTATCAGCAAACAAAAGAAAGCTCTTTGTAGAGCTTCAATTCTCGATTATTTTTTGGAGAGGTGCAAAATAAACACATATATAATATATATAATATGTCAGGTGGTCATAAGTGTCGATAGAGAAAAATAAAAGAGGAATAGAGAATAGTGGAGCGTGTATGTGGGAGGGGAGTGTGCTTCAGTAAAGGGATGTTTTAGAAGGCATCTCTGATGAGGTGACATAAACACTTTTATTCAGGAGGATCTCTCTGAGTCCCTCTCTGCCCTTGGCTGAAAAGTCACTCTAATTTCTGCATGCTTTGCTGATAGAGCTCACAAACTTCCTTCTTTGTCTTGATTCACTCTACTTCATCACTCATGGATTTATCATGAGAGCTTGTTTCTACAAATCTTCTATTTTTTGCCTAATGTTTCTCACCTAATAATTTAGTCTCAGATTTTTCAGGCTTTGATGACTTTGTGTCTAAACTAGCTCTTTGAACTTTAATTAATTGGGTTTATCCTTAACAATATATGGGTATCTCCTTCAGAACTGATTTGTATTTTCTTGCCTTGCCGTGCCCTTCCTTGCCTTTCCTTTCCTTTCTTTCTTTTCTTTCCTTCCTTCCTTCCTCTCCTTCCCCTTCCTTCCTTCCTTCCTTCCTTCCTTCCTTCCTTCCTTCCTTCTTTCCTTCCTTCCCTCCTTCCCTCCCTCCCTCCCTCCTTCCTTCCTTCCTTCCTTTCTTCCTCCTTTCCTCCTTTTCCTTTCGTTCGTTCGTTGGTTCTTCTTCTCTCTCTCTCTTTTCCTTCCTTCCTTCCTTCCTTCCTTCCTTCCTTCCTTCCTTCCTTCCTTCCTTCCTTCCTTCCTTCCTCTCTCTCTCTCTCTCTCTCTCTCTCTCCCCATCTTTCTCAAATGAGGTCTCATTCTGTCTCCTAGGCTGGAGTGCAGTGATGCAATCATAGCTCACTGCAGCCTTGAACTCCTGGCCTCAAGCAATCCTCCTGCCTCAGCCTCCAGGGTCACTGGGATTATAGGCATGACAGGTGTGAGCCACCATGACCAGTGTGTTTTACCAAATGTTTTATTTTAAGCCTTTTAGGACCAGCTCGTCTAAGTTAAAGATTTTAAAAGAGGGATAAAAATTCCGACTTCAAGCTTTTCTTTCCTCTGCCTAGCAATTTCTGAGTGTGGATGTAGCCATTCATGTATGAAATATTTTCCTATTTACCTCTAAAAAGATGCCGTTACTCTCAAATTCTTTGTCCAGCCTCTCATTCTAGTGCAGCTTGGCAGCAGACCTATGATGAGAGACTGTTCTGGAAGAAGTACCATTGACTTATTGTAGAGTATTTACATTTTGTTAGGCCACAGTGGCATAAGAAATAACATGGGTTTAATATTTTCATATTTACTCCTTGACCTGAAGGGAAGAATGAGAGCTCTTTTTCATGTTATTTATCCCATAATATTGTGACTTTTAAATCAGAAGTAGCCGGGGATAGTAGAAAGAGATGATAGGGTTTTTATCCTGGGAAAGAAATAAAAAAACAATTTGGAGTTTTCTTCTTTGCATTGAGTCAAAAAGAGTAGAAAGCAGGTATTCAAAGGTCATCAACCCCTAATATAATAGGCTAAAAAAGCAATTAAAAAAATGTAACTGAATAAGTGCCATTCTCTTTCGTGTATTAGAATGAAATTGTCCCATGCTAGTAAAGAAATAACAAAGGAAAAATGCTTTAAAACATTGCTGTGACGGGGGAAAACTAAAGCATTTCTATTTATAACTTGTACAAAGTCCCACATAAAAATAGCTCCAACTAACAGATTTGCTCATATCTGGAATACAAAGTTGTTGCTGCCAGTGATTTGAGGAATTCTAATAAGAGGAACAACAGCATTGGTAAATATGGAAAATATATCATCTTTTCTTTTCCCTCAGTTTTCATATGCAGAGAAAATTATGGTTAGTGAAACAGTTCTGGGTGCTGTATTTTACCTCTTGTTATTTTCTAGCCTGTTGATCTCTTTTCTTTTAGGGAAAATGATACGTTTTCACCCTTTAATCCTACCCCATGAGGTGGATATATTATTGATAATTTTATCTCTGTTACTGAAATATTTGTCAGGCTAATAGATTTAATATTTTATTCTTCTACAGACTAATTTTGTGTGATTGATGTGACAGCAAACATATTAAAGAACCTCAAGTTAATGAAACCATTCTTTCTGTTATTTTCAGCGAAGTTTCTTGGGCTATGCCAGTTTTAAAGTGGGAGAGCTACTGAAGTCAAAGGAGCAGTTGCTGGCCCTGAGCCTGAGGTGGGTCTCTTTGTAGAAACACTGTTAAAAAAGCGGTATTTGTTGATGGCCAGTGTGTTTGAAAGTCACAAGTCTTGCAGATGTTAGATGTCAGCTCTCAAATAGCTAATGTTCTCCACTGCAACAAGTTATAGTGAAACAGCAATTATTCAAATTCACATTGAAGTTCATGTTTCAGGTTGTGAAATGTTGTTAGCCCTTGTAAGAAAAAACAACATTACATTATCATTAAAGTGATGAAATTCTTTGAAAGTTAGAAAGTAGATATAAATTATGATCACATTATTAAATATTTTTTCTCTTATCGAAATGTTACTTTTTAATCAAATAACTTTCCATATTTGAAATATGTTAGAGGCAATATCATAGTTTTATGATAATAGAGAGTAAGCTGATTATTCTTTTCTCAGCCTATGTTGGTGCTATACTATTAAACATAAACCACTTAAACCACTTATCAGTTAAAACACATTCTTGACACAGACAATAGATCATAGCTAATTCTGAGTACAGTTTGCTTTGAAATAGGAGATGAGACAACAGTCTTTAGGAAGTCACACTATTTTAATTACTAAGAAGAGCGTTAAATAAAATAAACTTTTCTTTTTAAATTCAAAGTAAATTTGAAAACACATAAATTTTGAAACAATTGTTTTCTAACAGTATAGTAACTTTCATAATTATGCATACATTGGGAATACTGCCTTGCACTATTTTTATGGTACAAATGAATACAACAATTGCATAGAACACCATTTGTAAATGTTAAGACTCTCTTATTTTGATGAAACATGGAGACCACTTTCAAGGAGCTGGACAATGTCTTAAGTTTGTTTGTTCCCTTCCACCAAGGACCCACTTGTAACCAACAATTTATTTTGATAAAGATGTGATGACTTATGCTTGCACCTCTACTCCACGATTTGTCTTTTTCTGATTTTTTTCTAATCCTTACAGCTCCTCATTTTGATTTGACAATATAATTTAAACTATGTAATACTTCAAGCAGAGAAATGAGTTGTGGACTCTAATGAGGCTGCCGTCTGCTCTAGCTTTCTTTAGGTTATGTCTCTTAAACATCTGGTGTTGGTGTTGGTGTTATATTTTGCATGGGAAAACATATTAAAATCTTTATGGTTTTATGATGCTATTACCAATACAATTTTGCTGCTGTTATTGTTTTCAGTTTGAAGTATAAAGGGTCAGCTAAAAAGGCTGGTTATCAGTGTCACAGATAACCTAAAAAATATCATCATTCTAGCCTGACTGTTGAATCTGACCCATATACCCCTGGATTCATAACAGAAGATACCAAACATTGAGCTGTCTTAGGACTCCAAGCAGTCCACATGTTTTCTAGATCAGATGCATACCATGTTCTTCTTCATCTTACTGTCTCACAAGCCCCAGTATTCATCATGACATACCAGTCATTAACATCAGAAGCATACTACACAGTAATGCAACATTTAGACATTGGTTTGAAACATAAATCAGGGGACCAGAAGTTCTTAGTAAAATGAAAATTAGTGAACACACAGTACCTTAGAGAGAGAACAAGCACCAAAGGGTCAGTTTTAGAGTATTATCCTTGAAAGAGAAAATAAATACATAAATTTCATATTTAGATGGAAGCAAGACAAATTTCTTCACTTTTTATTTTAATACCTCTGATCCTAGTCATTTGATCTTGATTATATAAAACAAATTCAACAATGAAGAATTGACTTTTCTAAAAACAATGTAATGTTAGAAAACCAATTCTGAAAGGGCTAGGTTATTATTTTTCCCAGTTTTGTGCTTTGCCAAATTTGTGGTTTTCTCTCCCTATGAACCAGACAGATTATAGATCTATCATAGCCTCTTGATTTCTGGTAGATGGCTTTTTAAAAAAATTCTGATGTAATTTATTTTCTTTCCACTGATTCTGTCTCTTAAGTATTGAGTTAGAAGAGCCTTAGGTCAGCCTTAAGAAGCATTTTTGTTTTGTTTCGATTTTTAAAATGTTCCTTTGCACAGATTATTTCTGACTTTTATTTTATAGTCATTAATTTTAAAACAGTAAAATTCTCCGATTTCTATAAAACAAATTCACAGAAGTAACAGCATTCTTTGATAATGAATAAAGTTCCTTTTCTTCATGATTAATTTTAGCTTCCCCAAATCTTACAGTTGTGCTTGTATTCACTATTTCTTTGGGGGCTTCTTATGTGATCATTCAGATTCTAAAACTTTCAAACTAATTCCACAGAACACTGTGATTTAATATAGCTTCCATGTCATATGTGCTTTGAACTGGAGATCAAGGGCAGGGGATATATTGCTTTTATTTTTTTTCCTGCAGGAAACTTAAAGGAACAAGACATGTGCATCTAATTTATAGATTTATACAAAAAGTTAATAAAATATGATAGTGTGTATTTTTTAAGATGCAGAGTAAAATTCGTCTATTTGTATTGGGGAAAATGCCTCTGATGTATGGATTGGTTTCTATTCATATGTCACCTTTAGTTAAACGCAGAATTTACTATGTTTTTGAGGGTTCTAGCATCCCAAATGGACTTGGGTTCTCTTTAGTAATATCATCTATATCTTTATATTACATCCACTCTGTTTCACTACTGTGCATTTGGTAGTTCCTGTCTCCTCTTACTTCTTTTTTATCTCAATTATATTTTCTGGTTTGGTTTTCTAATTCATTGCTGTGTAGTCCTGACTTCTAGACTTGTAAATAAAGTAGAGTTTCTGTATGGAGGATTATAATTATAGCTGTGAAAGACGCTTGATGATATTATAAGAATGATAACAAGGATGACAACAACAAACCATGTGCTTTGTGCTTTGATGATTATATTAGAGATATCTCATTGACCCTTATCAAATGAGATGCTATTCTTAATTTCCATTTCATAAATCAAGAAACTGAGGTATAGAAAGTAGTTAAGTAATTTGTGTAAAGTTATAATGCTCTTAAATGGGAAAGGCAGAGTATGAAACCACACATTTCTAATTGCAAAACCCATGATTTTAATGACCGACATTTTGTCTCTTTCAACAAAAGAGAAAACAGAGAACTAGTTGAAATTCATATCAAACGTCACATAACTTAATAATGGCAGAGCCAAGCAAAGACTGAGGCCCAGAATCAGTTTTTCATGGTTTCTTCCATGTTTGACTTCACCACCGTGCCTGGGCTTACAGAAGGTGATGCCTAAAAGAGTGGTCCTATGCCAGGGTAGGAATGTTAATCATGACGGAAAAGTGTGAAAGGGCCTACTAGTTTAAGGGGGGATTGAAGGCTGAGGGAAACCTATGGAATGTGTTCTTATCCCAGAACCATGACTGTATCCTGATCTCGATCTGGTTTGTTGCCGAAACACCTGACAATCCTTTGCTCTACCAACCTGACATAATTTTTGGGGGACTAGACAAGTAGAACTTTGGAACATCGTAATAATGTCTTATGAGTTGATGAATATAAAAGTTAAATATAAAATAATATAAAAGTTGTTTCTCTCTGTGGAAATGATACTAGCAGTCAGGAAAAAAATTACATTGATCTTAAAGTATTTAATCAACCACAGATGCAAAACAACAACTACAAAGGTAAAATTTGTTTCCTAGGAAATTTATCTCATGGAAGTGGGGACAGAAGCGAGTGTTCCAGCCTTGTCATGCCTTTGTTGTGTGGCTCCCCACAGTTTAGATTTCACTCAGTGCTCATTCATTCAGCAAACATTTACTAAGAATGTTTTATGTTCTAAGTACAGGGATAGAGTTAATATTTTCCCATTGATGTTACCAATTATGTGTTTAATGAAAAACAATCTCATTATTTACTGAGCATCTGCTAGCATGCAAGGAATATGTGAGGTACTTTTCATGCATTATCTTATTTAATCCATGTGGCATTATCATCTGTCTTATAGCAACTTGTCTAAAATTCTACAGCTGCTGACTATACAAGTGGGATTAGAACTCAGTTTGGTCTGACTCCAGAGGCTATTCTACTTTTATTTTACTACCTAGTAGGAAGCTCAAGATCTAACAGAACATTTTCTTCCTTGTCTATTTTAAATTCTATTGTTCAATGGGTTTTAGGAATCTCAATTAATTTTTATTAATGTTTTATATTAAAATTCAATTTTATCTGCCTGCAACATAGTAGAGGTTTAATAATTATTTGTTGGAGTTTCGATTCATGATGATTACTTCCTTATACTTTTATGGATGCTAAATATAACGCTAGCACCAAGACTTCATTTCTGGGTGTAATTCATCTAAATTGGTGAATATTATGCAGTATAAGCATTAGAGTATATCTGAGACAAGCAAATTTCAGAGTAATAGTGAAAGTTGTAATCTGCTTTAAAAGCTGAAAATCTTAAAATCTACATTTATTTCAGTACAGGGCACTTTACCTTGTCACAGAAACTTTCAGTTCATCTTAACAAGGAGTTTATTATTTCTTTTGTAACCTTCTACATGTCACCACACCCATACCCCACCAATTAAACAAATTTTATATCATTTTATCAGGGTGAATATGATAAAAATTTTTCTTGAATAGAGATGTGCAAGTATTTATTCATAGAAAGGGAATACGATTTTCATTTATTACTTCTACCACATTTACAGAAGTGCTTTTTATGGAACAAATAACATAAAACATGGATGATCTTAAATGGATATATAATTACATTTTATAATATATAGATGTATGAAAGATGCTATGAAAGAAAAACATTTAACTTCTACTGTTTTTTAAATTTCTCCTATTTTTATAGTATTTATGTGTATACATATGCATGCCTATGTACGTGTATTATAGATTCTGTGGATGAATATGTGTTTGGGCATCTATATCATTTTAGAACATTTTGCTTCCTCACAAACTATGAATATTTATTTCCTATTTTTGTCAAATGTTTATGCCTAGAGATGTAAGATCCAAATCGTGAGGTTTTTAAGTTTTTATTTTTTGGCATTTTGCTTAATTA